ATGGACAGAGCCGGAAGGGCACAGCCTGTGCTAAAGGAGCCCTTGGTGCCGAAGCCAGGGCACGGGGAAGTAGTAGTGCTGCAGCGTGTGGCCCAGCACTCAGAAGCCAGCAGTGGAAGTGCCGTAGCTGAGAGGAGCTGAGCCCTTGGTGCCCAGAGTGGGGCACAGGGTGGGGAGGAGCCCAGTGGCATGGGAGAGGCCTGGAGAGGCACTCCAGCAGAGAAAACCTGATCAAGCTGCACCCTGACCTCTGCCACCTGAGGGAGCGTGAGTGATTGGGCCCTTGGGTCCTACAGGGGAAAGACATTTGGGGCGCGCAAACCCAGAGAAGGGGCTGGGTGAGCAGCCCCCTGCCTAATCAAGGCCCTAAGGGGAGGGGCCCCAGGTACTTCCTGGACACCCCTCAAAGGACCCCATTGGAAGAAGGACTCTCTCTTGCCATGGGTCAGGGACTATATTAAGGAATAGATGTCATTAAGATTGTTCATGTTTGCGCCTTATATTTTGCAATTGAAATGTTGTATTGTGATGTTGTAAATAGTGTTATTTAGGGTTTGACTTTGGTTATTGGTTAGTGTTCACTGTGTAAATATATGCATATGGTATTTAGTTTTATGTATATTATAATTCAATAAATTGTATATAGTTAGAAACTTTGGGCTTGAGCTAACTCTATAGAGGAAAGAGGGATAGGCTCGAAATTCTGGCATCCCTCTCACAGCACCCCCTCCTGTCTACCCATCTCATCCTATTGAGAATAGGACACACCCTTTGGTGTACCTGGGTTACACTTATCACACACGCCACAACCCAGTCCCCCAAAGCTGTGATTCTCAGTATCCTGCTCTAAACATGCATGTTTCAGGCGACTAATTTTTGTCTGAACTACCCCCTTCTTTATTTTAACCAGTTTGTTTTGTTTAAAACATCTTTCACACCAAAGCTAACATTGCATGAGGGGGTCAGCAGAGAGATGGTGGAATGAGTCTCTTGACACCTTTGTGTTTTGGTTTGACGAGCATTAGAGGTTATTTTGGGTATTGACAACTGCAAGGAGAAAAAAAAAGGTAGATAATCATCTGCCCTTCTTGACTCTGGTTGCCTTCTAAGCCCTAATACTCCTCAGTCTTATCCTTCTGTTTTAAACAAAATATTCACAAAAATTGGATACTTTTTGAGAATCCAAAACACTGGAATCAGGACACTGAATGAAAACCTCTTACGAAGGATTAAGTCACTATCCCTGCTTGTTGCAAAAATAAAATCAATGTGCCAGGAAGACTCAAAAAGAAAAAGTGTCCCAAATTTATTTGTTTTTAAAAGAATCTGGAGATTTTTAAGCCTCTCTCATGAGTTTTGCACACCTGTACTAGTACAAATTGGCACTACTGTGTTTTGTCATTCTGGGTGCAATCTCCACCTCCACTCAGCTCAACCATTCAGGTTCTGTTTGTATAGAATAAATGTGAAATATCCACCCCCACTCCTATACTCTCTCTTCTAGCCTGCAGGGTTGAAGGATGGCCTCAGCTCTTACACGTTGGTGTAACAAGCACACATACTTAGGTTGTGTATGGCAAAATATGTTCTTTTGATTGTGCATTGTGGGATTTTTTTTTGGTGTGTGTGTTTATTTTATGTGGGCAAGATGGTCCCTGTTGTTCTGGCCATGTGCTGTGCATATGGAAAGCTGGGGCCTTGTATTTGAGAAAAATATATAAAGTCCTCTGGCCTGACTGGCCATGGGGAGCAAAGACTTTTCAGGCAGATTGGTTAAGAGAAAGACTGGAGTGTGTCCCTCCCTGACTAGTCAAGGCCAGGGTGATGTCATGTGGAGGGATATAAGGTGAGCCTGGATGGTTTGGAGAGGAGCAGAAGCTGCTATGGGCTGCTGAAGAGCAAAGTCTCCTCCAAGGGAGAAGGAATTTGTAGATTGTGAAAAGGGAAACTCAGGTAAAGAAGAGAAAGAGGGAGAATTGTCCCACTGTCTGGGAACTCCTCTCTCCTCCTTTTCTTCCCTCTTTTCTGAGGTTTCAAAGGATTAATACCAGGGAGGAAGGCATTGATTCCTTGGGTTGGCTCCCCAGGAATTAGGCCTGGTGGTTTTAAACAGGGTTGAAACCTGGGAGTTGGGCTGGGGTTGAAGTTTGTGCGAGACCCAAATTACCTGCAGCCCAGGCCTAGAGAGTAAGCCTGGCTTTTCCCCTTTGTGCACAGCACTTAGCAGTTTTGTGTCAGATACATAATGCTACGAACCCTAGAATTTAGCACCTCCATAATGCAGAAAAATGCTCTGGTTAATTCTACACCTGTGAAGAATGTTGAACAAAATTTGCAAACATTGATTTAAGTCTCTCAAACATTCTTAATGTTACACCTATTACACCTATTACCATAGCAGATTTCATCAAGTGGATCTGTTAAACAGTGCTCCAAACAAGCTCTACACAGACAAATCTGTGTCTGTGTAGAACATGAAGGGGGGTCTCAATTTTTATTCACAATGTTTATGAATGTCCCCCAAGGGGACAAAGGGAAAGGGGAGGGAGACCCCTCCTACGGCAGGGCTTGAGGCAGAAACAGGCTGCTGTAACAAGAAAAAGAAAAGCCCTGAGAACAAGGCAAACTTACCTTTTATAGGAACAGCCATGGATGGACAGAACATGCATGCAGTTCATCAGCCATTTCTATCTGAGGCTGGGACTGGAGTGGGAGGATGAAGTCATCAAGGAACGCTGCCCAGCAGAGATAAAAGCTGCCAGCGGGGAAACAATTGTGGGGACATGGCAGGGAACAGGCTGCAGAGCCATCTCTCAAGCTGAGCAAGAGTTGCATGACCAGAAGGAGGAGAGGCTGGGGAAGGACCCTTTGGAGGGCTCTGACAGTTAGTTAAAAGAGATGCAGCCCTGGATGGCAAGGGACCTAGGCCAGGGAGGAAGGCATCAAGGGATAACAAAGTCTGCAGTGTGAGTGGGGACTGGCTAAGGCCCCTCCCAAGAGTTTCAGTTAATTGTTTCTTTTCTTAATTTTCTCTAAGCCTTAGGGCAAGTAAAAAGGGTCATAAGCAACGCTCAAAGGGCATAGCAAGCCTGGACCACTTCGGGGACCTTCGCATAAAGAGGGGGACCCAGCACATCATCAGGGATGGCTCACCGCCCTGAATACACCTGAGTGAAGTTGGAGAATGGGGACCAGAGTAGACAAAGATGCAGGAGGCAACACCAGAAGGCAATCAGGCTAACCACCAATTGGCTGTTCCAAGAGGGTGGTGCATGGCTGGGGTGTAGGGGAGGCGAAGCCCCAAGAACACCTGTTGGGAGTAATGCCTGACCCGCAGACCACTACAAGAAGGAGCCCCACTACTGCATGGAAGATCCAAATCATGGCAGGTGAGTGTCAGGAAATCCTTTGGGGAGAACACAATCCAACATAGCAGTTGCAGGAGCAGCCTCTGTGGCAGACCCTGGGCGCATGCTCCAAGGCAGCCAGGGAGCATTTACATGAGGTCAGGCAGGCACAGAATGCCTAGAAAAATTGCATTACCAGCCAGAATAGAGCATCAAAAATGGCTTGAGATAGTTACTGCAACTTTAAAATAAGTTTACGGAAGTTGTAGTCAGTTACTCAAATTGATAGAATTAAAATGCTGAAGGATGAAGAGTTCTGAGCTTGAGAAGTATGCTTACAACCATGGTGCTGGAATTATTTTTCAACTTGAAAAGGCAAATATATAGATAATAACACCAGGCTGTGCCTTAAAAGATCATGTTGCCAGAGAACAAGGAAGAACTTATCAGACAAGCCTGTTTTGATTCAGAAGCAGCAACTTAAATCCACGAGTGGTAAATACCAATTTGCTCTGTAGAATATCAATAGGAGTATTCTAGATGCTCCTTACCTTATCATCAGTCCCATAAGGATCTGAAAGCATTTTTTAGATTTAAGCATTTCTACTTCCTCTTTGATAAGTTATCATTACTACAGTCCAGTTACAATGGAATAAACTGAGACACAGCAAAACTGAATGGTTTCCATAAGTTTAGAGTGCAAGAAAGTTAAGGCTAACAGAAGAACAAGATCCTCAAGGTGGTAAAAATTAAGCTATTTCCAGTGATCTTAAAAGAGTACTGACAATTTATACATCAAGCCCAGCCATTAGTTTTATCAATTAGGCTAGGGACAGTAATTACACATAAACCGGTGCAAGTGATCAGAAACCAGTATGAATCTATAACGCAACAGAAGTTCAGTGTACATAAACCACTTTCAAAATGGCTAACACTGCTTTAAGATAAAGATAGATGGGTGTAGTATCAGGCTTAACTGTTTTAGGTTAAAACAGTTTATTGAACATCTGTCCCAGTTCAAGTATCCCTCCAGATTCAAGTTAACTCACAGTACCCCAGCATCCCAGCATGCTTTGTACCTCCCTCATAAACTCTGCCTTGCAGAGTAGGTAGGCTAGCCTTGGCTCAAACTGTCTGCTCCAGCTGAGCAGGGAAACATGCTCTAGCTCCCCCCAGCTCCTGGTCTGAGCCACTGCAGGCATGTGGCTACATTTCTGGATTCAAAAGTGGATATTGGTTCACTTGCTTATTGGTTCAATCTACAAGGAGCAGTTTCTCTGACTTGAGAAGGGTATTTATAATCAGATCAATCACAGGTCACTCCCAAGAGATTAGATTGTCCGGTCATAAAGTCGTAAACAGATTCACAGAGAAACTACTCCTCTTCATGGAAGACAGGATTACACATTCCTGAAACTGAAGTAAGTGAGATTTGAAACTTGCATACAACTAAAGAAGTTGACTTCTTTTTCTCAATTCTTATTTTCTCTATAAATCTGTTGCTGCAATCAGGGTTTATTTTTTTATCATCTATGAAAAATGACGTGTTAGGATGTATGATGTAAAAGACTTTATGACTGGGCAATCTTTATGACTGGACAATCTAATCTCTTGGGAGTGGCCTGTGACTGATCTGATTATAAATATCCTTCTCAAGTCGGAGAAACTGCTTCTCTTCACTGAAGACAGGACTACACATTCCTGAAACTGAAGTAAGTGAAATTTAAAACTTGCATGCAACCAAAGAAGTTGATTTCTTGTTCTTTTTTCTCAATTCTTATTTTCTCTATAAATTTGCTGCTGCAATAAGGATTTATTTTTTATCATTTATTTAAAAATACTTAAATAGTGCACTTTTACAGTTTGGGGAATTCAATTAGAAATCATTATGAGAAACTAATTGTGGTTGCTTGTAGCCAAGTACAGTTGCTAGCTATACACAACCATTCCTGCATTAATTTGCAAGTGTATCTGTCATACCTGCAACATTTCTACTATTCTATCTTTACACTACTAATAGTCTTCTCTGCTGAAGGTTTTATGATCTAGAGAAACATGTAAGTTTACTGCAATAGTTGCAAAACTTATGACCCAGTTTCCTGGGTCTTGGTTTCCTAAGCCAGTCCATTAGCCCAGTGAGTCAAATCGCTCCTCTTTGTCACCATTGAATTAATATCATTAAAACTGAACCATCCTGATAATCAGAACATTTGTCTGAAACACAGCCATAGTGCAGGAAGTGCAAATACAACCAAACAGTGGCAGGAGACTCAGAATGCGAAGTCTGATCCCATTATGAGCTAAATTGTAGGAAATCCTTTTATTAAAGGTAAAACATTTTAAACCACTATTTTACTGCAAATAAAAATTGAAATTTATGCCTGTGTAACCAACACTAAAATAGGTTTAATGTCAGAAGAATTAAGTGATGTCTAAGGCAGCATTAAAAGTGCCCTCCAGGTCATTTTCTATTCAGTCCTGTCTCAGGAATCCATCTTCCCCAAACACCCTTTCTTCCTATTCATCCAACATTATTTGTAATACTTTCCAGCATTGCTATACACCTACTTTCCAGCACTGTTATGCAGAAGACACATGTTGCTTCCTTTAGCTGCATTGTTTTCTTTTGAATTTAGTAACTGGGATTTAAAATGAAACGTGTTTTCTTTCTTTTGAAATGCACTGTCATGGCTTCCTGTGTTTTGCCATGGCTTTCTGTGTTTCAGGAATTTAGTACCCAGACTGGCATTAGCCTTGTCAAAAGATCGGCATGAGGGTGCTTACATTCTTCTAGTTGTCCTTGATCTGAAATAAAATCTATCCAAACTAAAAATATGTAACTATGCTTTGTGAAGGAATTCACTATTAGGGAAGGAGTCAGGAATTCACTAAGTCAGTGTGTCAGGAATTCACTATTAGGGAAGGAGATAGGGCAGGACAACACCTTAGAGACTAACTGGTTCAAAGAGGCATGAGCTTTCATAGGCAACAGCCTACTTCAGCAGATGCTATTAGGGAAGGAAGTACACACAGAAGGGAAAACTTAAATATTTGTTTTCTAGACTTCATTTGTTTAAAGGAAAAAAAGAATGACTTAGTGACTATTCCATTCAAACTTCAGTACAGTATGATATAGTACAATTTTGTATCTGTTTAGTTATGCATATCAGTGCAGTCATACAATTTCCAAAACCTCCACATATTGTCATTAATTCCCAGCATTTTTTCCCCACAAGCTTCCATTTACTGAGATGATTCAGACTAATGTCATTGGTGGTAGTGGAAATTTCCACTTTTGTAACCCTGTCCCTATTAATGACCTTGGCAGCCACCATTCTTACCTATTGGGCTATGTCTGACCTGAAGTCTACATTACCCATGTCCTGGGTGATAATAAGCCTGCAGTTGTATATTAGTTATCACCACTTATAGGCTCAGTATAGATAGTCAAAAAGCCCAACGCTGAACTGATTCAATCTTTACAGGTTAGTCTAAGCTGTGTAGATTGAACTGATATGCAAGTGAACAGATATTCCATGTTCACAGTGCCTCAACAACTATAGGAAGTGGCTTATACTGTAACATGGCAAACAGAGCTGCTGTAGATTCCACATTTCCACATAGCTCCTTTGGCACAAAAAAAGCTAATACAATGAGCTTGTGTTGCCATGCAGCTGATATAACAATCAACAGATGATACTGAATTTCCATGTGAGGAACATTGGGGCATATTTAAGAGCTTGGGCTGACTTTCCAATGCTAGGACATGCAAACTGTACCAGTCTAGAACCAGGTTAATGTTGCCAACTGGAAAATGGCTACATAGACCACTCCAGGTCCTCGACTAGCCAGTTTGGTGTTAACCAGTCAAGTGGTAATTCAGTGTTTGGTGGAGCTAAATAATAATCTGTGGGCAAAATATAACTTACCAGCATAATTAACACACCTGAATGAAACAGATGGCTTTTGAAAACTGTCCCCAAACTATGCTGAGATCAATAAAGGCATACATGTGCCCATATTTTGCTCACCACAAGGACCAAAGTAGTGTATAAAGTGCAAAGGGTACTCTCCCATTGGTCATCTACAGAAAAAGGCTCATGAATACCAGTTTCAGACGTATGGGAAAAATACATGACATCAGGGTGCCAAGAAACTTAGCTGTTTATATACTCTTTTCAACTAACCTGGTTATTGATAGTAAGGTTTGAATGACACTGTAGCCACGATAATCCAGGAAATATGTGAAAAGTAGGTGTTTTGGGTAATATCTTTTATTGGATCAACTGTATAATTTGGAAAGATGGTAGACAAGCCTTCAGGGGCAATTGTCCTTCTGGTCACTTTAGGTCATTTGTTACATGATGCAGCTACTGGGACCATAGTTATTTTCAGGGACCCCTTCTCCCCATCTCTTGATAATTATTTCTAATAACACTTACACAATGGGGAACTCCCTACTTGAGAGCACGGAGGCAGAAAGAGATCTTGGAGTCATTATGGACTCCAAGATGAACATGGGCCGACAATGCGAGGTCATGGTTGGCAGGGCTAACCGGACCTTGTCGTGCATCCACAGGTGCATCTCGAGTAGAGCCAAGGAGGTGATCCTCCCCCTCTACGCGACGCTGGTCAGGCCACAGCTGGAGTATTGTGTCCAGTTCTGTGCGCCCCATTTCAAGAGGGATGTGGACAACATGGAGAGGGTCCAGAGGAGGGCCACCCGCATGATCCAGGGACAACAGGGCAGACCCTACAGTGAGAGACTGCGGGACCTGAACCTATTCAGCCTCCACAAGAGAAGGCTGAGGGGGGACCTGGTGACCGTCTATAAACTCACTAGGGGGGACCAGAAGGGTTTGGGGGAGACGCTGTTTCCCCTAGCGCCCGCTGGCATAACAAGGAGTAATGGGCACAAGTTGATGGAGAGGAGGTATAGATTGGACATCCGCAAAAACTACTTCACAGTTAGGGCGGCTAGGAGCTGGAACCAACTTCCAAGGGAAGTGGTGCTGGCCCCTACCCTGGGGGTCTTTAAGAAGAGGCTGGATGCCTACCTGGCTGGACTCATTTGAGTCCCGTTTCTTGTTTTTGGGGTTTTTGTTGTTCTCCCGCCCTGGTGGGGGGTCGGGCTAGAAGATCTACTAGGTCCCTTCCGACCCTTAATCTATGAAACTATGAAACACTGTACCAGAATCAAAGACCATGTGGCAGTAAACATTTTACATAAATGTATCTCAGGATGGTGGCCAGAGCATGCAGGTTCAAAACATGGTGGGGCTCTGCTCCCAGTTTGGATGCCAATCATCCGCTTAGTATTGTCAGGGCCAAAGATGATAAGAAATTCTCCATGGCTGAACATGTTAACCTTATGGTATGTGTGGGGCCAGCTGTATTGCTCAATAGGGGAAATTTAATAAAGATAAATAGGTCATTGGTATGTGGGAGTGAGTTTGAATAACAACATTTATTTTCCATGGTTCCTTCCATTTTAGAAAGGTTTTAAACCTCTGTGTTCCAATGTTTAAATTCTCTCCTTGCTTCCAATTTGCTTTTCCACTAGTCTTTTGCTAATATGAGCCTAATAGCATCCGTGGTTTTTGCAGTGGACTGCATAAGTATGGGGAAAGAATTTTTAGTTGCATTTAACTATAAACTCAAGTTTACCATGTGAAAGTCTTTTTTAAATTCCTCTTCATTATATAATCTTTATCAATATTTACATTCCATGGATTGTAAGCCTTTTAGACTAAAAGCACAAATTGGGATAATCTAGTTATATAAAATGGAACACAGAGAATGGTGTAATCTTTGTGGCCTGAATGCTGCACACCATCAGGTGCAAGAAGGCGTGAGTTTTCTTAGCAGGGGCACATGACTATCAGAGGCCAAGTAAGTGGCAGAAGCAATTAAATGTAATACAGACTTAGATTAGAAGTGCCATAGAGTTAAAACTACATTAGGAAATAATTATATTTAATAAAAGTCATGGCTTTTGTATGTTGATAGAACCAGAATTTTAGCTGGCCTGACTTCAGCTTGGAGCTATGCTGAGCTACACCAGACAAAGATCTGTTAATTGAATACTTAATTCTCTGGATAAAATAAAAAATTACAAAAGAGGTAAACATTTTATAGGCATGAATGATAGAGGCAGTGATAGGAATGGCTTATGTTTTACATAATGATTCCATCACAGCGTGCTCCAGAAAGACACCAAAAAGTTAAAATGTTCAATCAAATATTTTAGATTGATAAATTGCTGGATGGTTCCTGAGATAGCTTACTTCACTTTTTGTTGCCTAGCACCCAACAGTTTCAAGTATCTCATACAGGATTTTTTTTTTAATAAGCTCAAAGAAATTATCTGGAATGCTTTACAAAACAAGCTAAACCAAAATTTAAATTGGGTCTGACCAACGACTAGCCAATCAAAATGTGCAAAGGTATAAAATAAATTCTAAAGAAATAGCTGGGTTCAAAACTAAAGAAAAGCAAAATTGTAACCATTGTTCAGATTGAAGTTGAAAACCTTATGCTGAATTCTGAGGTCAGAAAGGGAATCTTGTAGTGGATCTGAATAAAGCATTGTGATCCAAGACATTAACAGTAATATACTGTTACAGTACTGCCATCCTCCTCAATTCAGCAAATACTTTGCATGTCCCCGTATGTGCCTCTACATTCCATCTCCCTGTATGTGACTGGAGTA